GGGTTGGGGTTGGGGTGGGGGGGGGGTGGGGGGGGGGGGTGGGGGGGGGGGGGGGGGGGGGGGGGGGGTGGGGGGGGGGGTGTGGGTGGGTGTGGGTGTGGGTGTGGGTGTGGGTGTATATATGTGGTGTGGATAAAACCATGATCGAAATAATGGTCCACACCTACACCTACACCTACACCTACACCGCACACCCACACTCACACCTACACCCACACCACACACCCACACCACACACCCACACCCACACTCCACACCCACACCCTTGTTGAGGCGCATCCACTGTGGACACATTCTTTCGAAAACTGATCTGCAATTGTCATGAACGGGTGAAATGATTCGACAGATTTCTATTCTTTATTTTCTTTCTATCAAACTCACACCCTCAAGATCAAACAACCGACAAATCCTAATGGTACACACCTAATATAAAAAATCAAAATTTCACTTATACTTGATCACGTCCACTCCTCTTCATATTTACATTAAACGCTAACTACATATCATTTAATGACACACAAGGATTAATCGTCACAAATGGCCGAAACCAATAACGGTTCTTATCATTCATATACCGACAAATACTTACTCGAAATTTCTGGCAAAAACAGGTGAACATTAAACTAAATACATTTTACTTAAAATTTCTTCAAATCATTTAGATATAATTGCCATCTGAAGAGTCTCTTAAGCAAGGACGAAACTAGTCATGGCTGCTGTTCTCACCCTCACCCTCACGACTCGGATATTGTTCGATAATGTGTGTGAAGTAAAACTGTTGAATATTTTCATACGCGATATTTATATCGCCGTCGCCCATGGAGAAAAAGGAATGACACACCTGTTTGATTCGGTAATCAATTAGAGAGAAAAATATCGACTGGCTTATGAGAGAAGAGTATATCGATATAAATAGATTGCATCAATCGATCGATAGACAAACATTTCTAACTCATCATGTCAGGTAATATCCTCGGATCAAAATATTTTCATTATTATTATATACCTATTATTCTAGTCTGTCAACATCTTCCTTTTCAATGCATTCGAGTATTGCGTCGAGGAATCAATAAATGTATCACCAATTGGAATCATTTAACTACAGTTGGTGATATTATTCATGTTTTACTTGAACAGCAATCTTTGACTATCAATGATTGTTGTTTATATATTGAAAATTCACCGCATTTATTCGTTTTGAAATCTACTGATTTGATTGAAGATATTCTGTATCGTTATCCATCATCGAACATTCATTTTAAATTAGCATTCAAACGAAATTCATCCCCATCACGTTTCGCTCAACGCAAACAGCTACTTCCAGCAGTCGTACAATTATCAACAGTAATAAATCCTTTTAAACAATTAAGAATACAAGAATTATTGATTCAAAAACAACAAGGAATTATTCATCGATTGACGAAAGTGAATGACCATCAGCCGTTTGTTCCTTCTACAAATACACGACGATCACGACAAGATGAATTCGAACAAGGAGTGAATCGAGAATCAAATCGTTCACTCTCACGTGTTCGGTTCCGTCTATCGACAATCAATCGAAAACATGATATTCTAGCAACACTACCACCATCATCAATCCCTGAAGTAAAAAGTATTCTAAAGAAAGCTGCAATTCCCCGAACATCAAGTGTTGATCGAGATATCGATCAATTACTTGCACTTAAACAAGAAGAATATCGTTCCGATGCATCTGATGACGATCATCTATCTGATCAAAGTACAACAGATTCATGTCTAGGCTCACTTTCTACGAATGATAGTGTTTATCATAGTATTACTCAAACTCATCTGGAAACTCTTGTTTGATTTGTTTTTATTTGTAAATCTCATATGATATCAAATATATTTAAGTTTGACTATCACAAGCAATTGCTAGTTTTCTATGTGGTGAAACTAGTTGAGCAATATGATTCACTGTGTAAGATATGTGAAAATCTGATTTGCTGTTCACCACGAAGTTTTACTCAGTCGTCGATATTGAGCTTTGCCCTGAGTGTCACGTTCTAAGCTGGCACGTCTCTATTGAGAGCCCAGAGACCAACTTATATGGGTAACTTACACCTCTTTCATTCACTAAAACATTGAATCCTTCATAGTCTTTTATAGTCATGCAAAACCTCACTTTATCAGTCGCTATGTTTACAGTCTGGTTTTTTAAAACGTAAACACGGACAGAAAAATACGGAAGGAAATAAATATATCTTTTCAGTATCGAAATGAGTCCTTTTAAACTTTATAACTGCATTTCCACTACAGTATTCTTGTTCAGCATTTCATAGATCTTTCGCACCATCTTGTCACTAATTTTATTGTTACCGAGGTATAGTGCGGTGAGTGTCTGTGTGAAAAGTGTAAGAACGATGCATAGAGGAGAAAGAGCAAAAGCAGGACTGCTTTTACTTTGTTCATTTGAAGAGCATTGGCAAGATCTTCTGCTCCTTGTGATTTGACTTGATTGGAACTGAGGTTTAGTGTAGTGAGTGCCTGTGTGACAAGGGTGCGAAAGATGAATATATCAGGAGGAGGAAAAGAAAGATTGATGTTACTTTGTTGAGTTGAAGAGCATGGGCAAGATCTTGTGTACCTTCATCGCCGATATCATTGTTATAGAGGCACAATGTGGTGAGTGACTGTGTGAACAGTGTGAGAATGATGAATAGATCAGAAGGATAAGAAGTAAGATTGATGTTACTTTGTTGACTCGAAGAGCATTGGCAAGATCTTGTGCTCCTTTTGGTCCGATTTTATTGTCACTGAGGTCTAGTGTGGTGAGTGCCTGTGTGAAAAGTGTGAGAATGATGAGTAGATCAGAAGACGAAGAAGTAAGATTGACGTTACTTTGTTCACTTGAAGAGCATTGGCAAGATCTTTTGCTCCTTCATCGCCGATATGATTTATTTGGAGGTTTAATGCGCTGAGTGTCTGTGCGAAAAGTGTGAGAATGATGAATAGATGAGAAGGGGAAGAAGCCAGATTGATGTTACTTCGTTAACTTGAAGAGCATTCGCAAGATCTTGTGCTCCTTGCCGTCCGATTTCATTCCATTTGAGGTCTAGCGTCGTGAGTGACTGTGTGAAAAGTGTGAGAATGATGAATAGATGAGAAGGAGAAGAAGCAAGATGGATGTTACTTTGTTGACTCGAAGAGCATTGGCAAGATCATGTGCGCCTTGATCACCTATATGATTGTAGTAGAGGTTTAGTGTGGTGAGTGCCTGTGTGAAAAGTGTGAGAATGATGAATAGATGAGACGGAGAAGAAGCAAGATTCACGTTACCTTGTTCACTTGAAGAGCATTGGCAAGATCTTGTGCTCCTTTTGGTCCGATTTCATTCCATGTGACGTGTAGTGTGGTGAGTGTCTGTGTGAAAAGTGTGCAAATGATGACTAGATGAGAAAGAGGAAAAGCAGAATTGATGTTACTTTGTTGACTTGAAGAGCATCGGCAAGATGTTGTGTTCCTTGCGGTCCGATTTTATTGTGGTTGAGGTTTAGTGTGGTGAGTGCCTGTGTCCAAAGTGTGAGAATGATGAGTAGATCAGAAGACGAAGAAGTAAGATTGATATTACTTCGTTCACTTCAAGAGCATTGGCAAGATCTTGTGTTCCTTGATCGCCGATATGATTGTCGTCGAGGTCTAGTGTGGTGAGTGTCTGTGTGAAAAGTGTGCAAAATATGATTAGATGAGAAAGAGAAAAAGCAGGATTAATGTTACGATGTTGACTTGAAGAGCATTGGCAAGATCTTGTGCTCCTTGTGGTCCGATTCCATTGGCATTGAGGTTTAGTGTGGTGAGTGTCTGTGTAAAAAGTGTCAGAATGATGAATAGATCAGAAGGAGAACAAGCAAAATTGATGTTACATTGTTGACTCGAAGCGCATTGGCAAGATCTCGTGCTCCTTTTTCGCGGATTCGGTTGTGGTCGAGGTGTAGTGTGGTGAGTGTCTGTATGAAAAGCGTGAGAATGATGAATAGATAAAAAGGAGAAGAAGTAACATTGACGTTACCTTATTGACTTGAAGAGCATTGGCAAGATCTTGCGCTCCTTGTGTTTCAATGTCATTGCGATAGAGGTGCAGTGTGATGAGTGTCTGTGTGAAAAGTGTGAGAATGATGAGTAGATCAGAAGGCGAAGAAGTAAGATTGACGTTACTTTGTTCACTTGAAGAGCATTGGCAAGATCTCGTGCTCCCTGGTCGCGGATTTCACTGCCCCCAAGGTTTAGTGTGGTCAGTGTCTGTGTGAAAATTGTCAGAATAATGAATAGATGACACGGTGAAGCAGCAACATTGATGTTACTTTGTGCACTTCAAGAGCATAGGCAAGATGCTGTGCTCCTTGTGGTCCGATTTTCTTGTCCCTGGCGTCTAGTGTGGTGAGTGCCTGTGTGAAAAGTGTGCGAATGATGAATACATGAGAAGGCGAAGAAGTAAGACTGGTGTTACTTTGTTGACCCGATCAGCAATGGCAAGATCCTTTTCAGCCTGATTGCCGATTTCATTCCATCTGAAGTCTAGTGTGGTGAGTGTCTGTGTGAAAATTGTGAGAATGATGAATAGATGACACGAGAAGAAGCAAGATTAATGTTACTTTGTTGACTCGACGAGCATTGGCAAGATCTTGTGCTCCTTTTAGTCCGATTTTATTCCATGTGAGGTCTAGTGTGGTGAGTGTCTTTGTGACAAATGTCAGAATGACGAATGGATGAGACAGAGAAGAAGCACGATTAATCTTACTTTGTTGACTCGAAGTGCATTGGCAAGATGTCGTGTTTCTTCGTCGCTGATTTTATTGTGGTCAAGGTGTAGTGTGGTGAGTGTCTGTGTGAAAAGTGTGAGAATGATGAATAGATGGGAAGGAGAAGAAGCAAGATTGATGTCACTTTGTTGACTTGAAGAGCATTGGCAATATCTTGTGCTCCTTGTGGTCCGATTTGATTCCATTTGAGATGTAGTGTGGTGAGTGTCTGTGTGAAACGTGTGAGAATGATGAATAGGTGAGACGGAGAACAAGCAAGACTGATGTTACTTTGTTGACTTGAAGAGCATTGGCAAGATGTCGTGTTCCTTCGTCGCTGATTTGATTGTGGTCAAGGTGTAGTGTGGTGAGTGTCTATGCGAAAAGTGTGAGATTGATGAATAGAGGAGACGGAAAAGAAGCAAAAATGATATTACTTCGTTAACTTGAAGAGCATTGGCAAGATCTTGTGCTCCTTTCGGTCCGATTTCATTCCATTTGAGTTCTAGTGTGATTAGTGTCTGTGTGATTAGTGTGGGAATGATGAATTGATGAGACGGAGAAGCAGCAAGATTAATGTTACTTTGTTGACTTGAAGAGCATTGGCAAGATCTCGTGCTCCTGGGTCGCGGATTGCATTGTGGTCAAGATGTAGTGTGGTGAGTGTCTATGTGAAAATTGTGGGAATAATGAATAGATTAGACGGAGAAAAAGCAAAATTGATGTTACTTCGTTAACGCGAAGAGCATTGGCAAGATCTTGTGCTCCCTTTGGTCCAATTTTATTGTCGTCGAGGTCTAGTGTGGCGAGTGTCTGTGTGGAAAATGTGGGAATGAGAAGTGGATGAGAAGGAGAACAAGCAAGATTGATGTTACTTTGTTGATTTGAAGAGCATTGGCAAGATCTCGTGCTGCTTGTGGTCCGATTTTAGTCCGTCGGAGGCTTAATGTGGTGAGTGTCTGTGTGAAAAGTGTTAGAATGATGAATATATGAGACGGAGTAGAAGGAAGATTAATGTTACTGTGTTGACTTGAAGAGCATTGGCAAGATCGTGCGGTCCTTCTGGTCCGATATCATTGTCATTGAGGCGTAGTGTGGTGAGTGTCTGTGTGAAAAGTGTGGGAATGATGTATAGGTGAGACGGAGAAGGAGCAAGATTTGTTGTTACTTTGTTGACTTGAAGAGCAGTCGCAAGATGTTGTGCTCCTTGTGGTCCGATTTTATTGTAGTTGAGGTTTAGTGTGTTGAGTGTCTGTGTGAAAAGTGTGGGAACAATGAATAGATGAAAAGCAGAAGAAGCACGATTGATTTTACTTTGTTGACTTGAAGAGCACTCGCAAGATGTTGTGTTCCTTGATCGTCGATATCATTCAAATAGAGGTCTAGTGTGATGAGTGTCTGTGTGAAAAGTGTGACAATGATGAATAGAGGAGAAGGACAAGGAGGAAAATTGATGTTACTTCGTTAACTTGAAGAGCATTGGCAAGATCTTGTGCTCCTTTTGGTCCGATTTTATTAGCATCGAGGCCTAGTGTGGTGAGTGTCTGTGTGAAAAGAGTCCGAATGATGAATAGATGAGAAGGAGAAGAAACTAAATTGATGTTACTTTGTTGAGATGAAGCGCATTGGCAATATCTTGTGTTCCTTGATCACCGATATGATTGTGATCAAGGTGTAGTGTGATGAGTGTCTGTGTGAAAAGTGTGAGAATGATGAATAGATGCGAAGGAGAAGAAGCAAGATTGATGTTACTGTGTTGACTTGAAGAGCATTGGCAAGATCTTGTGCTACCTGTGGTCTGATTTGATTCCATCTAAGGTGTACTGTGGTGAGTGTCTGGGTGAAAAGTTGTGAGAATGATGAATAGATGAGACGGAGGGGAAATTACGTTTGGTATCTGCTCGTCATTCCGAACTCCTGTAGCAGATATCCGTTACTATTTGCGGATGGGAGAAAAAAGAGAATATTTAGACTGGATTGCGGAATGATAAAGTACAGGGGGTTTTATTGATTCATGACAAAGGGCAAAAGTTTAGTCTAGTTTTGCGAATTGGCGAACTTCGAGTGTAT